TCTTTAGAACCCCCCCCCCATCTTAACTTTTTAAAAATCAAAAGACACTGACACAATGAAAACTGGAATTCTTTTTAAACACTGATAATAAACATTAAGAACATTGCAGACCTATTCCTCTATGTTAGAGGCCAGTTTGAAAACGTACAGAGGATATGTAAACAATATAAAGTCAGAACAGAAATCAAGAGTCACAGCACAAAATAATTGCAATTAATACATACTAAACTACATAAAGGTTAAAGACCCAATAACTTGGCAATAAGTCTCCACAGTTGACAAAACACAGGTAGCTCATTGTATAGCTTTGTGTTTAATAACAACCAAACAAAGATCCAGTAGAGATGAGAAACACTATTTGCAATATTTGTGATATATGGGTTCCAATATAAACAAATAAAAAAGACCAATTAAAGTTAGACTCCAGGAGCATAATAAACATACAAGACTGTAATATCAGCCATCTACAATACTCCATCATGATAGAGAAGACCATACAATAAGTTGGAATAATACCAAAATAATAGGATATGAATCACACAGGAGAAAAATAAAGATAAAAGAAGCCTTCTACATCCACTTAACTGATAACACACTCGGTCATCCGGACAAGGAAGTCAGCAAAATCTGGATATCCACTTGAAAATGTTCAAACATTTAATTGATTCATGTTCTAATGATGGAGACTCTAGTTGTGTGGATAACTCACCAGTTTCATATCCAGAAAGGCCCAATATTAAATTTTGGCCATTAAAACATGGAAACGGACTTTCTCAAGATTCCCATGAAGACTGCAGCTGATTAGAAACCAAAAAGTAGGGTAAAACTAGTTAGCAATTAATATCTATTTCTGGAAAAAACAAACAACTTGAAAGATTTAGGTGATCATATAGGCTATTTACCATGACACTAATTAGGAAAGTTGACAGTGTTGTACTTATTCAGAGGCCTAACCTTTATTCTTTTGACATTTCCTTTACATACAGGACAATGTAAAGATGATATAGCAAAATCTAAACATAAGGCCTCTTGGTATAATTGATGTACTAGCTGTTTTACATAACAAATTGTTTTAAATTTGCTGTTTACCAATTCTGCTGTTTTTGTTAGAATGTGTGGGCCAATTAGTTATGGTATGGTTAATAAAATTAAAAGGTTATGTGTATATTGAAAATTATAAATCAAATGTTATTTATTTTATCCTATAAACAGTGAGTCTGCTAGTACAAAGTAGGATTAATACAAGTCTTGCAATTTGTTCCATCCACATTCCACATGTAAATTATAGTTTTTATACACATGAATCTAAATACACCAGTAGGAGGAGGGGTGACACACATTTTTAAATAATTAGGATGTAGAAAAATGTAATCTAACTACTTCATCATATGGAAACATATTGAGACTAAGAACTCCAATAAAAATAGTTGTTTCTATTGGCTTCACAAAACTGGATATCTGATCACAATCCAGGAAAACAGGTCATAGCAGATTGGAATAAATAGCAACAGGAGTTGAAGTCTCTTGGTCTAAATAAACCAAGAGCCCTCCACCTTTAAAGAACTTGGCTCAGAGAATGGTACATTTACCTCTGCTGAACAAATTAATGAGGACTTCGAGAACACCTCATTAACAAGACTAAGTCTTTTAGGATACAAGATGATACATCTTTTACCAGGACATATCATTGCTCCTAAGGATCAACTCTGTTTTTCACACACACACAGTGTATATTTATAAACCAATGAGTACATCAATAGAAAAATGAAGAAAAGGCTCTTTACATTTAATTAGATTGTACATAGCCTAAGATTCTCGCAAGTCCTCACATCAGAATACTGTGAAAGAGTAAGGAAGCCACTGTAGGGCCTAACTTAAAGCACTATATTGTGTATTGGTTCTCTCATAACAAGAAGGATATCAGTGTGTTTAAAAAAAATATTTAAAGTGGCTACTATAATGGTTCCTTGTGAAAGTTTAACCAAGAATAGAGACTTAAACAACATAAGGTCTAACATACAAGTACAACAAGGGGCCTATTGGTCCACCGAGGCTGTTTCATTCAATGAATTAAACTATCAAAAAGCCAAAGCTAGTCCTTATCATTTAAATATATATCAAACCTTTTATAAACTTCCTTAAATTTAGTACATTCATCACATCTGAAGGCAATCTATTCCATAGGCCAACCACCCTATTAGCAAAGTAAAACTTAGTTGAAATTTACTCCTATCTTGCTAACGTTTGCATCTCTTTGTCCTAATATTCTCACCATTAAATAGAAGAAAAGTTTAAGCATCAATATTATCAATTCCTTTAACAATCTTAAATACCTTAATCAGATCTTCTCTTAACTGTTTTTTTAGAGAACATTCCATAGATCACAACTTTTACTCATGCAACGGGCAGTGCCCTTAGGGCTAATTGTTGGACTTTCAATTATACTGCCAATTACACCAAATTTATTTCGTGGAAGATTTGCAGTGGCAAGTGGGGGCTCACAAGTCACTAACTCAAGGTAATTTACAGGTAGAATAAAGAATCAGTCCAAGACTAACATTGAACAAATTATAACAATATTTATTAAGTTTTTCTACATAACATACAATATTAGTTAAAAGTTTATTAATCATTAACTTCTCATAACTTTTGCTATTACTGTTAATCTGAATAAATAACTAGTACATATAGAGTACATTCCTTTAATACAAATATGAATATCCTTTTACTATTAACTACATTAATTGATCAAGAGAGACAATAATTCTATACTTACAACAGAGTTGGGCCAGTATACTTCTGGATAGTTGAGACTTTAATATTGGAATGCTGATTCTTCCTGAGGTTACTGTAAGGAGCTCAAGAACAACTGATTTTTTGACTCCAGACTTCAGTTTTTAACCCATATTTCCTCTGTATTCTGTCGACCTTCCAAATAGTATTCCTAACTACTCGCAAGTAGCTCTAACACTTTATTGGTCGATTTGTGCAACTTCCCGGGCTAGTCCAAAACCATAACCAAAACTCTTAAGTGATTGTTACTGTTATGGTGAGTTAGCTGGTTGCCTTTTCACTTGTGCTAGTACAGTAGCGTCATGTAAGGAATATATCATCAAAGTACCACTTTTGTGTGTTAACATTGACTTTTTCATAGCTTCCACAGTACTAACGAGTTGGCATCAGTTATTACTCACTGTCCAACACTTGTGCTAGTGCATCTACTTCATTGCTATAACTCTTAATCATGATTCTCAATACCACTTCTCAATACTTCTGGGATGGCTTGAGAGACTGATCAACCAAGATACCTTTCTTCCATAACACTATTAAGGGTATTCCCATCAAAATTGTAATTTAAATTATGAAAACCCACATGCATTAACTTGCATGTATTATAATTAAAAGCCATCTTTCTTTATTCAGCCAACTAACCAAATTAATTTAAATCTTTTCATAAAACAGGAGCATCCTCCTCAATATTTGAAGACTTAATATCACCAAATTTTAGAAATCTGTTGAACATTCCTTCATCTATGTCATTAATGTAAACCAAAAAGAGCAAAGATCCTAACACACTGAGCCTTGAGGTACCCCACTTGGGACATTAATCCAGTTTGATTGAACTCCATTTGTAACAACACTCTGCTTTCATCTATTCAGCAATTTTTCTATCTAATAAGCCAACTTATCCCTCACATTTTTTAACAAGTCTATTATGTGGCAAATTGTCAAATGCTTTCTGAAAAGACTTACACCAAATCTGCACCTTACTTTCATCTAAATAAGTGGTAACTTTTCAGAGAATCTGAAAAGATTAGTTAGGCAAGCTTTTCCACTAGTGGAATCATGTTCACTATCCAACAAAATTTTAAATTTTGTTAAATGACTTTGGAAAACATCTCTTATAAGACTTTAAAAAAAAACATTTTTTCACTACTAATGTAAGACTAATATTCTATAACTATCTGGAAAAGTTTTATCACCTCCATTGAAAAGAGAAGTAACATTAGCCAACTTCCAATCTTCTGGCACCTGCCCACTATTTAAGGACTGGTAAAAAAAGAAGCTCACATAATCAATCCTTAATGTACTGAAATTAAAATTCACCATAATTATGATCTCATAGAAATAGGTGAAATATTAATCTGACTAAAGTTTCTCAGTATTTAGTCTTTTCAAAACATTTTCTCTTTTACTTGTAAAGCTTTAGAATAAGTTGATACATGATCATTTGTTCACTATTAGTTTGAATTACTTTTAAGGCATATGGTGATGAGTAGATTAATATAGTTATATTGGTTATGGTTGGTTAGGATGCGTAACATTGTCATCTTGATCGTTTTTGTTTTTATATGAACTAGGTTTTTGTACAATGTATATTTAAGAAGCAGAGAAGTTATGGATTTGACTATATTTATAAATATGCAGATATTTGTATCCAAGTAGCACATTTTTATTATTACTGTCAACTATTTATTTCTATTACTTATGTTACCTGTATGTGTAATTGCTATTATTCATGAAAGAGTTAACTTTTCTCCTCTATTTGAAATATAATGGTGTTTTTCATACATGCATATATAACTAGGTCTTCAGTAGGATATTGTCATGTCTTTGGAAGCAAGTGATAGTTGGATTGGCCATCTGGCTATAACTATTGGCACAACAGAACCTGCTCTACGTTTACTTCTATCTATTCTTGTCGGTAAGTTATTATATATATATATATATATATACTTATATGTTAGTGGACAGAAAAGGTAGTTTATTTTTGCATCTGTCATTATAGAAGAAAAAAGACATGCTTCTGTATCTCAATCCAAAGAAAAAAGTTTTTCAAAGAAACTTTGTGCAAGAATTAATATTTTGAAAATATGTGGATATTCAGTGTGTATGTATATATATGTGTGTGTGTGTGTTAGTTTTCTTTATTAGCTAGATCAACTGCACAATGACTTGATAAGGACATAAGGTTCAAACAATGCCAGCTTTTATCAGCCAAGATACCAAGGTTGTTTGGGTGTATGAGTAGGAAGAGTGCTACTTGGTGAATCTCTGTATATGTGAAACAAAAAACTTACAATGTATTCTAAGAGTTAGGAACAAAATAACTTCAGTTTGTTAAGCAAGAGAAAAGGAAATTAAGTTTATTTAATGGTGTGCTAATAATGAACAAAAAATAAGCCTTGTTTCTTTTATACAAATATTGGACTTAATTATAATACATTTTTGGAATTTAAAGCTGTTGGCAAATTTAATAATGACTGGAATAATAAGATTTTATAAAATGAATTACATAAACTTTTACAGATTTTTAAAAGGGTTGTTGGATCATTTAGCTTAATTTTTGTTTATTGGAAAGTCAAGGACTTTGATAGATGTGGATGTCCCCCTCCCCCCACCAGAAAAAAAAAGATAAGTTGTGTTCTTAAAGCATGAATGGAAATACTTGAAATGAGCTGATAAATCAGATTGATCTGGAACAGCCTTCAGATGGGTAAAGGTGGCTAATCTGCTTCTGCTGGAATCTTTTTTGATACCTTTGCTCTTTATTATGTGATGCTCTAGTTCTGAAAGTGTAACATGACAACTAGATCATCTACAATAGCCTTGACTAGCCCTTTTAAGATGCATAAAGTAATTCCAGGAACTGTTTATTAATACATAAGAATTGCACAAGACAGTTCATAAATACTGGACAAGTGACATTCACATGTTGAGCAACAAATTAAATCAGGCACCAATAGAGTGCAGTAAAAATGATGCTAATGAAGAAATTACTTACAAGAAGCTCATTCCCTGATTTCTACAAAATACATGAACTATTGAAGATGTAGCACATTTCGGAGTTTGTATATCAACTGTAATAACTACAGAAGAGACAGAGGGTCATGACGAACAAAAAAACATAGAAATTTTGATTTTGTACTTTATATGTATTAATATTACTAAAACCCCATAAACATAAATAACCCACTAACCAGACATTTTATATTTCTCAGAAAAACATTTAAGGCTTGGGTGGGGCAGCTATCCCTGCCTGTTAGTGCCACTGCTCATAATTCTATATGTAGATAGAAATAGTTTATTAAATTGTGTTAATTTGGTTATTATGCAGTGATTATAGGAATAACTTTTACCGAAATTAAGTTTGTTACTTCATGAGGATCTGAATAAGGTCAGTGAGTGAGTGAGCACAGGTTTGGAAAATATGTTTTAACACTTATAAGTGTAAGTAACATAAGAGGCTTTATAGGTCATATAGATAGTTTCAACTAACTAGTTTAGAAATTATAGACACAAAAATAGAAAAAGCATGAAGAAAGCTCTGAGGAACACCACAATGTTTTCACACTAGGTAGCAAGTTGGAAAAAGCATTTTATGTTCATAGTGGATATAAAAAATAGTAAAGGAAAAAGACTGAACCATTTAAGAACTCAAGAAATAAGTCTATTATATATATATATATATATATATATGGCACTTTAACTATTTTTTCTTCTCAAAGACAAGATTTATCTTGTTTGGAAACACTGAAAATGTCCTGAAGTGAATTGTTACAATATTAATACACTCAACTTTTTGTAGTTTTACATGAATTTTGTTGAATAGGATCCAACTTGAATAATATACATTACTGACTAACTAATGTGTGCACGTTAAGTTTAAAAAACAAAATACTGTAACCAACTAAAACAAAATGCTGCTATAACCAGGGTCAAACAAAAAAAAAAAACAATTTATTATACTGTAACAACAACAGAAGTCCAAAATACCACTTTGAGACAATTGGAGGACAAGATCAATAACAATATCAAGGAACAATCTAATAATTTGTTCTAACTATATCTCGTGAACTAATTCATTTAAGGTCAAACAAGGGTTTTATTTAGTGGTCAGATCACAGGGTTATATCTTTGATTAGCTAATTTACATAACCTTTCACAACATTAACATCTGTACATCACCACTAGGGAAATCTAGTGTCAGTTTCTTAATACAAACATACTAAACTTCAACTACAAGGTGAGTTACAGCTTTAATGTAACTAAAAATTCATAATTGAACTAAATGATAGAAGGAATAATAAGTGAATGTTAACAAAATAAAAATAGAATTTGCTATCTTAGTACCTTACATTAACTTATTTTTAAATTGATTATTCTAGAAATCAAACCTAATGATGTTTTAAAAACACAAGTGTACAGAAAACAAAAGGTAATGTTGTGTTTTTCAGTATTATTCAAATTATACATCTGTGCAACACAATACAACATCAGCCATGTTGCTAACTTCGTAATAGGAACCTTTGAATAGTCCTTTATAAAAGTTTTGTAATCACAAGTGTTATGAAGACCATATAAAAACCAAACTTGAAAAAAAAAAACATATTTGAATGAACCAGAAAATATAGATCAATAAGTATTATGAAAAAATTCAAAATTTTAATTCCCAATTGTTTGTGTGTGTTGGTTGAGAAAAAACATTGTCCCAACAAAGTTATGAACTCACAACTAATTAGATGCATGAAGTTTAGAAAAGTGTATTGAAAGTCAGTGGGGTCCATATCACCAATCAGGTTTTTGAGTCTGGTGAAAAAGGAAAAAAATCTTTAACATGTTTGTATATATATGTGTGTGTGTGTGTGTGTGTGTGTGTGTGTGTG